TCCACATTTTAGGGATAGGGCAGTGAGCACAGAAATGATACCTTTTACATTGTGTGCAGAGCGCTTGGGGAAATAACGTGCTTAATTCCTGCGAGCCTTAATCATGTGCCGTAACTTCTGTTCAGCCTTCCTTGTGCGGCACATAGAAGAGCATGGGTGATCCTTAAGGTTTCAGGGTGATGAGTAACTGAGTGTATCAAATCAGAAAAGTACGCAGATAAATGAGGTGGGAAGAATGGGACAATTTTTGTATAGTGTTGCAGTATGCTGCTTTTAACGTTTTCAATAGATCTTTTCAATGTAGCCTTGAGTGTGGTCTAATGGACCAGATCCGTTGCTCTGTCCATCCTTTGAGATTCAGTGAAGCTTGAGAGCGTGAGACCTAAGGGTCTTCATGGGTAAATCACAGGAGAGCAAGAGGAGGCTGCACCGACCTGGTCCTCAGGGCTGGAGAAACCTTGTCAAATTAATTCCCTGATGCTAAGCCTGGGCTGTGTGCTGGAGAAATCCAAATTTGGTGGCAGTCTACTTTACCTTGGACGGATAACCCGGGCTGGAAGGTGTATCCAAGGTGGGCTGGACCGTCAGTGGCACAAAATCGGAGCAGTAGATGTAGGTGAGTCTAGGCGGCCTTGCATTTGGCATGCAGCAGTGCTCTCGTGTCTTCTGGAAGGTTATCGGCAGTCACACATCTGTCTGTCTGTCTGGTTTCTCGAGACTTGTCTCCTCCCCAATAATCTTTTCAAGTTGAATGAATAAAATGGTTGGTTCTCAGCACAGTGCTTTTCTACACATAGGACGTTATTTTATCATTTTGACAGCTTTGTAGTGTTTTGTCCTGGCCAGTAGTCTAAGCAAATGCATTGTGTTGTCTTCCTGAATCCAATTTGTAACAATAATGTTTTTCTTTTACTGTGTTTCTGGAACCAATTTGACTACTTTCCCTTCCCCTTCTCTTTCTAATAGGACATCCGAGAGAGCGCTCTGCCCTGCACGCTACCAGCTGTCACTGCCTACTTACGCTGCCCATATTCCCACGTTTTGGGAATAGATCTGTGTGAAATTACTTTAATGTAGAGACTCAAAGTCATTTCTGAGATAGACCACTGAGAATCTTGGGCAGCTTTTCTACATGAGACTCGCATGCTAAAAACCAAAAGTCCAAATGTGAAATTCCCTAAGCCGCTTGATTAATTTGATTCATTTCCTCTGTATCTTCAGTTTCAAAGCCATTTAGGAAGATCATTTGCACAAACATAAAAGTTCTCTTTAACTAAAGTCAACCAATGTGTTTTTTCAATGAGCTAGAGCTCATAAGAAAGATTCAAACATTAACTGTGTAAAGAAGGCAATTAGAGTTTGTACAATATATTGAAAATTAGCCTGAGGCATACTGGAAAAATACATGTTTTACACATGTATATTTTCCATCCAGTTCCATAGTTTATATTAGATCTGGACATAGATGCTTCTGAAGGCTACCAAATTAATTCAAACTGTGAAAGGGGTTGTGATTGTCTATAAAAAGGTTTTTTTAAACTATGATGTAGTTGGTCTTACTCTGTATATTTAATCACTCAAAGGAAAAGCCTCTTCTACTGCTGTAGTATGTCAAGGAAGCTTATCTGCATATAAACAGCAAAATGAGACCTCTCTCATGTTACAAAGCTTTAACTTTTGTAGCTTAAAAGTTGAGCATTTCTAAAAAGGTACTCATTATGTCATTCTGATAGAAGGAGATACCCCTCTCACTTTGTCACGGAGTGATACTTTCCATAGGTTTTAAAGCTGTCATAGGAGTAGGAAAAAAGCAGTCATAGGAATCAGTGGAAAACTTTTATTTTAATAACTGTTGGGGGGTCCAGTTACAGGGAGCAACTGCCACGTTATTTGTCTTAAAGATTGTGCATCTGTTATTGTGAGTGGTTTGCCCACAGTTTGATAGGAATTAAGGTCAAGAGAAGGATCATTTTCCTGAAGGGGGAGAAACAGGAATTGATGTAACCATGGGTAGAGTACCAGTTAAAAACTTGGGAGCATTTTCTGAGAATATGAGTACACCCATAGTCTATTAAGGGAAATACTGCTTTTTTTACCATACTCATTTAGCATTTGATTCTAAAAGGACAGAGTGCAAACCAAAAGAAACAGATTTGTGAGGCTCCGGTGCTATAGTAAGCACAAATGTACTTTCTGCAGTTGATTACGTTAAAGTATTTCTTGTTTATATGAATTACTATGGTGTATATGGAGTGAAACCTTTCAGGAAGACTAGGTGAAACTTTTGTTTGTTTCTACAAGAGAATTCACGAGAGTGAAAGTCAATGTGGGATCTTAGATGCAGGAGTATAATGGCTTGCCTTAACATGTAGAAGGGAGCATATGGTTTTGGTAATAGGCTAATAAGAGCAATTAACCTTACAGTGCACTCATTTGTTGGTCTCAGTTGTTTATAAACTAGGTAATAAAGATATTTTAACATCCTATAGCTTTATAGGAGATTAGTGAAATCAGGTTGTATTTTTCAAGTTAATGCCTAACAGTACTCAGGTGACAGCATAAGTGATAGAAGCATAAAATTAGCAGAGAAAAAAGTATTCAGAGTACTATGTGGTGTGTCTAACCAATGAATATAATCACAAATATATAAATACATAGTATAGTTTAAAGAAATAAAAACATGTGTTAAAGGTTTTCATTAGAAGAGGGACTGTTTTCACAGGATGCGGTCACGGATCTGTCATTCATCTTGTTCTTGTCACCTTGCAAAGATTGTAATGTAAACTGTTTCCAGGCTTATTTAATGTCAGAAAGAATTTTAAACTTACCTTCTTCTTCGTACTGTGTAAATAGACAGCATTTCTTAAACATCTTCCATGTAATCTTTTCAGAAGGATGAACCTCGTAAAAGAATGGGTTTCTTTTAACAGCAAGCACCATTTTTTTTTTTAAGGACTTCTAGAAGTTAAGCCAATTCCTGCAGAAGTTACAGTTTCTCAGTTAGGAGCTACTGCATTTGCTTGGCAAACAGAGAGATTGGGTACAAATGGGCAAGTAGCTTGCCCCACAGACTGCACCCTCAAGAAAATCCCTCTTTACTTCGTTCTTTGTCAGCTCCTTGCATTACAGGTTGTAATTTTGACAGTCATTGTCCAGTTGGGCACCTGGCTGCGAAGACAAGTGACACCAAGGGTTGAATGATCTTTATTTTGCAAGTACTTTGGTTGCTAGGTTGGTGGTGATGGGAGAAGGATGGTTTCCCCATAATAATATTTTATTATTTGAGTCTATAACTTTTGGCAGTCAGCTTTTGGGCTCCTGCTTTTGTGCAATATTTGTTTTGCAGACTTCTGCCTATTTATTGTCAATGTGCCAAAAGAGACATCTAAATCAGTTTGTTTGTGGATTTAACTTGAGCATGTAAAATATGATGTATTGTGGTTATTAGTGTTTTGTCTGTCCTTCCTGGTTTACTGTTATTTGCCTGATTTTTACTTTATGTGTTGGTTACTGACATTTTTATTGAGTTTAGCTAGTCATAACCGTAATGAGTTGTTGCTGCTTTTTCTTTATCCTGAATTTCAAAGTCAAGACAGTATATTTTTTTTCTTTTGAGTTTTCTGCAGAGGCTTCTATGAAACCCTTCTGTACAAATTTGCGGTCTTTGTTTTTTCTCTTTCATTGAATTGACTGAACAATGTATTTGCTGGTGCAGCATTCACTGAATATGAGGACTCTTTTGCTTTATTAGACTTGACAGTGTTTAAACAATACTAATTCTGATACCCAGCTGGCTTTTCAATTGATTTCTGTGCTCTCTGTTGCTGTGTAAAACAAGCCAGAACATTAAAGACATCTTGCATGCTACCCTCTGGAGACTTGTTTTACTTTACAGAAAAATCAAATAAGTGTAAAATTTTCTGGGTTTTCTCCTCATATATTTTCTTCTGGATCTTTAAATGATATTTCAGTGTACTGACAAATTTTGTACATGTTAAGATGCTAATTTTCAAGCATATACTTTTAAAACGCAGTGTTCATTTTATAGTGAGATTTGCCGGTTTGCTCATTTGGTTATAGAAATAAATGTCTCTTTCTTCATCTAAAACAGAATATACCAGCTTTAAAATCATGTTCAAGTTGTACATAAATGTGCCATTTTAACCCAGCTAAGATTTTGCATATTTAAAATATGTTTGCTAAACAGTCAAAGAATATTTGCAGATGTTAATCATTTGTTTTACCCGCTCACTTTTAACAGTATTGAAGCAGCTTGAAGTTTTGAGCTAAATATTGGAATCAGGATTCCTGGGGAGACCGAGACATAAAAAGCGTTTTTCTATCCTGTAAATGTCAATATTTAAGTCACACCTTTAGACAAATCCAAGCCTTAAAACATACACTCCTGAAAAATGAATTTTCTCTGCTCTAGAGCAGTCAGCTGGGATGGGCTTCAGCCCGGTGACCATTCTAGCACAAGACTCTCCTTCCAGTCCTTTAGAGGCTGCTTAATTTCATAAAAATTTCGGTTTATTGTGAAATACCAACTTTCTGAAACCCAAACTTGATTCCTCGTCCACTCCACATCCCCAAATACTTGGATAGCCCTGCGGCTGGGGTAGGGATTTGGGGTGCTCGGTTGTTGTGGTCAAAAGAGGGCAATGACCTCTCATAAAGGGCTGGTCAAAGCTGAGGAGTGGGACTTGATTTTTAACTTCAAGGAATCAGTGCTTTCTGATGAAAATTTGTAACATTCTTGGCCGCAATATCCTCCTATAATCTTTTCACTTTTTGCACAGAAGCCAGGTAGCTGTCCCTTGTGTTCTTTTTTGCCACTTGTACAAAATGTGAGCTAGTATCTATTTCACACAATGTCATGTAACTCCATGTCGTGCATACAAAGTCACTTGGAGTCATTGTAGGAAATATTGTATGAATAATGAATGTTTTGATCCCACAGTATTTCATTTAAGCAATTTTTTTTTTTTAATTTACTACAGCTGGTCTGAAAACCCAGAAGAATGGAAGTTTCAAAAGACAAGACAAACCTGGCTTCTCTTGCACATGTATGATAAAGAGAAGGTTTGTATTAATGCTGCTTTTTGTCAGAACAAATATGACATGAAGTTTTGTACATTAGTTGTACCTATTCTTTATTAACCAAAAGTCGCTAGTACTAGCCATGCACTTTTCTAATAATTTTTTAATAGTTTATAAATCAATTACTTTGTTTTTAACCAGAATGCTGAATCATTTTAATTGCTTGCAATTAATCTTTTTATTTTGTTGGTGACCATTCTCCTGTGTATGCTACATTTTTATACTTGATATATGTCAAGCATAAATAAAGCAGATTCATGTTTTATATAAATCTGGAGCTTACTGAGAATTGGAGTCATATCCTTAATTTGAATTTCTGAATGTGGAACCCAATACTGTAAACCAGGATTCTCATATTGCTTCAGATATCTCTGGCTCCATCTAAGATGTACAGCCATATTGCCAAGATGTTAAAATAGCTTTCCCATTAAAACATAAGTGAAACCTGATGTTGATTCTAAAAAGCATAAAGTATAACCAGAAGCTAGGCTTGCATCATTACTGAAATCCATTCATTTCATAACCTAAAAAACAACATAGATTGAATTTCCAATAAGCGTCTGACCATCGTGGTATTGAATGGGGGTTTCAGGTCATTCATTTTGTTGTGTAATAGAACAAACATCTAGCCATTTGCACAGTGCCCTTCTTATTGATTCATTTATTTGACATTCAGTTAGTTTTTGCTGATTTTTTTGTGCACTTAAACACTTAAGCATACCAATCTTCCTGACCCAAATTACTCAGCAGCTCTTAAGCCAGTCACCTGACATAGGGTGTTAACTTTAGATTAAAAATACTTTTAGAAAACCAGATAATTAAAAGCGGAGTTTCGTGAAGGCAAAAATGTTCACACAGTATAATACTTTAAAAAGATTAGTTGCAGAATACAAATTTGATTATAGGTAACTAGGTTGTTTGCACGGTCTTCTATTTTTAAGTTTCTCCTTTAAAAGTCTTTATCAAGCGTTCAAAATCAATGTATGCTCTTTAAAGCTACCTAGAAATTGTTTTACAGGCAGAACAATGTTTTTACTTTTTTACCTGTTTACTTTGGGTTTTGTGTTGAAATATACTGGGAAATAATTAACTGTAAGTAGCATTTGTTTTATGTATCAAAACACAGCTTAACTCCTTATTTCTCAACACTGAAATGAAACTTTCTTTCTGTTTTTTTTTTAAATCTGATGAAAGTGCTATGATTTATTTAAATCACAGATTTTATAGTTTAATAATCAGAGATGCACTGAATGTGAGCTTTAGATAATGATTAACATCTGCATCCCGATTCAGTAAAGTTAGTAGAACTGCTCAAGTGCTTATAATTAAGCATGTGATGAAGCCTCTTTCTTCATCAGGGCTGTAGGGAGGGCAGACCAGCTTCTTTTGAATATTTTTTTATACCCAAATTCAACTTCCTGTCCATTACAGAATAAAATCTGTCGGATATCCAAGCATGACTAAAATACAAAAGGAGACAGGAGTTCTTTCCTTCCTAAGCCACATCTTTGATCTCATGGTGTCACTCGGATGCTTACTGAAAAGCCATGCAAAGGAGCGAATTGAGTTTCCCGTACTGATAGGCCTCCTTCTGTAAGAAATAAGTTGAGGTTTTAAAGTTCTTTGCAGCGTGGGTTGTTTGGTTTTTTTTTTTTTTAATTCCCTTTAAAATCCATCTGGTGGTTGGCTGACAGCTTCCAAGCCAAGCCTGTGTACCTGCCATGTATATACTTCTTCAGGACCCAGTATAAAATAAACACTAGATCATTTGTTGATAGTTGTCATCTGGCACAGCATTTTTAGAGAGTAGCTGTATCAGCTCTCTTCAGCTTCTGGACTGCAAGGCCCTGGAGGGGTTTCTGAAGCTTCCTCAGAAGGTAACTGAGAAAAGCAAGCTTGGCAGCAGTAAGCTGCAGTTCTCCGTGGAGATATCTGTATTTGCTTTGCAAAAGATGCGGGGATCTGCAAGTCTAAAAAGTCTGAAAACTCTTGAGTTACATACTATTATTTAAAAGTGGTAACTGTTCTTTTCCTGCTACTATTTTGCAGCGTGTGTCCCCTTTTCCCGATGATTATTTCACTTTGGGATATTTCTGTGTTGGCTCCAGTGCATATTAGCTAGTTAGAACAGAGGCAAGGTTAGTCTGTGAGAGAGAAAAAGAAACAAGAAGAAGGGTCAGAACAGTTTAACAAAAGAGTAATAATAAAATCCCATAAGCATCACTTCCACTTGCCAGAGCTGTGGTGGGAGATCTTGATACCCGATTTCAAGCCAGCCCAAAAGGTGATATTAGAAGGATTGTGTTCCTTCTTGTAAAACCTCCCCAACGGTCCCTGAAATTTCAGCTCTTGTCCTACTGTCTTTGAAGAATTGAAATTTGGATTTCATTAACTTTTTGCTGGCACTTTCTATGTTCCAGTCCTTGCTATGGCTCTATTGTATGTGTAAGTTAGGAGGAAATATGATATTATCTTGCCTACGTGGTGCTGTATTGTAAACTCTTGCTGAAATAAACCTAATAGCTGTGTTAAAGAAAAAAATCAGACTTTTTTTAACACTTGAGCACTTATCCTTAGAGCCAAATGCTAAATGTTTTCTATGCTTCAGGCAGCCACATGTCTGTCTGCACACTTAGTATTTCTAAGTTTAGAGTAGGCTTTTAATTGCTCCTTCAAGCACTTTGCTTAAATGATATAATAATAACTGTAATTCCACAGAGTTATGACTATACCATGAGGCCTGAGAACAAGAGGTGTAAATTACGTAGATAATTTGGCTGAGGTTTGAAACACAGAAATGTTGCTAAGCTTTAAAAACCTGGTACTGAGCATCTGCATTGAAGGAGCACTCTCATGCTGAAATTGTGTCTGAATGTTTTTGTCTGTTATTAGTACCAGTTTACTGTGAGTAAAAAGGTTTCAAAAATATAAACATTTTTCATTAGGTTTAAATGTGTTTGATTTGTATATTATAGCAACATTTCATATATCATCCATTTCAGTGTTAGTCGCCCTAAAATTAATATTTTTTTCATATCTGTATTGTTTCTTTAATGCAACAGTGTTTGTGTGAAGAATTAGAAGGTTTTCCATAGCGTGTAAGTTACGAGGCTGAATGCAGACTTCAGTTTTGATTTATTACTTTGTAATATCCCTGATTGATGAAGGCAATGTTGGAATATTCTTTCTTCCTCTTCTTTTGGAGTGATAGAAGTTTTAGTGATCAAAGTTATGCTGCCAAATGTCAATGGAGAAATAAGTTGTAAATTAAGTATCTGTTGAAGCTCTGTCTTCTCTGAAATGTTGATACTTTGCAAAATTGAAACAGCCCTCGAATAATTAGTCTCCAATCCTTTAAATACTTACGTATGTGTTTAACTTGACTCATGTCAAGTATGCCTTTTAAAGTTATATGTGTAAAGTTAAACATGGAGAAAAATACTTGCAGGACTAGGTCATTTTAACATCTCCTGATTCACAGCAAAAATATTCTCTTATTGGCTGAAACCTGTTCCACAGATATACAACATAAAATTAAGATACGCTTCAACCTGGTACTTTTGAAAATACATTGGTTTGAAATACTGAATAAATCATTCAGAAGTTTTTGCTAGGTTATTGCCAAGATTATTTAATGTAATGATCATTTAAATTTTATGTTGTACCAGATAAGCTAAAATTTAACATATGACTAGTTAATTAGAAAGGGAGTGAAATGGGGGTAATGCAACTGTAGATGACTAAACTGCTTTTAATGTTAGACATATTAGTAAAGCCTATCAGTTTTAGTCAGCATAATTTAAAAATTATTTCCATATGTCTGAATTCAATTTGTTTTTCAAATTAAATTCTATTCCTTCGTATAAGCATTCTGTCAAAGTGCTTGATGGTGGGTGGTATCTCATCTTAGCAAAGGAATAATTTTGGGTAGGGGCAAGGGTAATTCCAGCAAAATTCTTTCCTCGGACACATGCATGCAATTCTCACTGAATTTAGCAGGTTTCCACACATATTTCCAAAAGGAGGATTTGGCTAGTGGGTTTTTTTCTTCCAACAGCCCTCACAGCCTTGAGCTCACTGTCAGGGAGTGTTTGCATTTGCTGATCAGCATTTCCACATCTGCTTAGAATTTCCTTTCAGATGCTTTGCCCATCTGAGCACATGACAGTCTTCTCACCACGGTCCGTCCCTCCCGGCAGTTTGAACCTTGGCCAGAAACACTTCCACTCAGAGGTGGGCACTGGCAAATGCAAAAGCCCGTGCAGTTCTCCTAATGATCTTCCAGGTGGTGATTTGACATGATTGTGAGTGAGTATTGAGAGAGAAGACAATAAAGCAGGTTTTTTTCTTCCTTGTTTTTTAATTTAAAGGTTCCAGACAAGTATTTCACCATTTTACTGGATTATCTGCAAGGGCTTCAAGGTGGTGCGCGAGACATAACTGTGCAGAAAGCTGAAGCTTTTATGAAGGAATTTGATGGTTCTGATGCAGAAGACCCAAACCTGTTGGAGAAGTGCGAGCGCATACGACAAGTTCTGCAGCTGCTGTCCTGAGAGTATTTTTGTGTTTTAATGACTGTCTGGTGGAGAGAAGAATAAGATGTCGTATACAGAGACTGTAAATTAGTTGTAAAGACATATTTTCTAATAGGAATCCTAATACTAAATTTTCAGATTTTCTACCTGTAATTTTTTTCCAATTGCAAATATTTATCATGTTTTGAGTTGATGAAATAAAAATAACATTTGGTCCGTAGACGTGCTATTAAAAGTAATCTTACCATGTATCTTTAGAAAAATAAACCTCTCTTTCTTGTTGGTTTTTCTCTACCTCCCTCTGTAATTACTGTTAAATAAGAGAAGCTTTCCAGTTCTTAATAAGAAGAGCAAAGGAACCAACAAAAAGCCTGGAGGGTCTTTTACAATGGCAGATTTTAAAATGAGCATACAGTACAGTGCTTGCTCAGCCAGCTGTAATCTATCACTTTCAGCTTTAGAACTATGTCATTTGGATTTGGGAAAGATCATTTTCAGTCTGTTGAACATGGGTTGTATAACACAGTTGCTTATTAGTACTTCACACAGCGATCTGGAGATACCGTCAGCTTTGTTAGTTTTCCTTTTATATTTTAAAGTTTTCAAATGCATTATGGCAATTGTTTAGATATTCAGATAATGCATGGATGGGAGCAGATCAAATCCTTTGACTATATGCAGCGAAATCATCATTGTACATAAACTTACCCGACGATGCAAAGTGCTGTGCTGCAACATTTTGTATCTAGCCTGCCGATACTGCATTTTCATCTTTCTCTTGTAATTGGCATCCAAAAGAGTTAATTTGTGTTCATTCACTTTGACGTGGGACATTTGTCTCCTATGAACATGCTGAAAACGAGGTTTTCAAGTAAAAACCAAGGACATTAATTACTCAAAAGTCAGATGATTGGCTTATTTAATAACACTGGTATTCAGACAATGTTCTTGACCTGATTCTTTAATGTTTCTGCAAACATTGTTCATACTTTATTAATAACAACCATATAAATGCGTAGTGTTTTGGAAGAGTGGCTGTCTTGGGGAATTACAGCTTTAATTTGGATGGGTGAAGGAGGGGAGGCTCTATGGATATGCAGGCCTAATTTTTCAATAAGAAGCATTTGAGTGGATTTGACAGCCTTCGCAGTCGTGGATTACTACAAATCTTTAAAAGTATGAACCATATTACTAGTAACAAATAACATGCTTTCTGACTTCTTGAAGATGATGTTTTCAGCCGGAAAAAAAACTAGACAACAGCGTGCCCTGCTCTGACACCATAACTGTGATGGGAGTTTAACGCCAACTGCGAGAGAATTCAGCAGCAGTGGCCACCCTCTCCGCTGAGCTGCCGATGGTTCGTCAGCAGCTCGGGTGCTGGTCCTGTACCGCGGGGCGACCGACGGCTGGAGGAGGGTTGCAGAGGGTGCGTGCAGGAGTGTCAAAGCCTTTCTGAGGCCCAAAGCTCTATAAAACTGATCTTCCAGTGTAAAAGCTGGTGAAAAGGCTCTGTAATAAAAAGAAGTGATACTGACGTTTAGTGAACTCGTAAAAGATCATTGGATCCTATGTCTGAGAATATGCAGCTGGGAAAAAGTACTGTCACTCCAAGCAGAAGCTGATACTTTTTTCTTTCCATCAGGAAAAATAGGAATTTCTCGGGGATGAAGTTTGCAAAGTGTCTTTTTGCGACTTTATGATTCCATTTTAGGTGTCAGGGAAGAGTTTGTATTCTTTCTTAAGATATTTGAAAATCACCACTTTTGATTATCACACAAAAATGTGGGTCCTCATTGTGCACTTAATATACCCTGTAGTTTAAAAGCAAAAGCACATTGCAACTGTATTTTGGAAGAGACTTGTAAGAAAGAGTGTAAAGGTAAGGTCCAGGCAAAAAGATGTGAACCTTTTATGATTTTGACTGATTTGGCAAGATTTGCCTTTCTTGGACCTTGGTTCTGACCACGTGTAAATGTTGACAAATCTGTGAGAACAGAGGCTTTGTAGATCAAGAACGTCATATTTCTTTTTGTATCAATTAATATTAAAAGCGCATAAGGCCTGCCAATCTGGAGTCCATGTAAACAATAACATTTGGAAAAGAAGTTAGAGACTCTCACCAGTGCAGTAATAGACCTCTGTGAGTGAGGTCCTGCTCCGCTCTCCTCTTCCTCAGCCTCAGTTCTAACTTTCCCTTCAGTGTGACCGATTACTGGGTGAAGGACATGCTTCTTGCTGTTTTGGAAAATTCAGAAGCTAAAAGCTAAGGTAATTGTTGCTATGGTTGTGCTTGGTAGAGAAAGCAAAGTATGATGTTTTCTGCCACATGTCTCTTGGTGTATGGTGCTGTTCAGTGGTCAGTGGTGTGTCAAAATTGGGTAAAAGGCTTGTAAAATTTCCGCCTTTTATTGTTACTGTGTATGTCTTGCGTTTCAAAGCTCAATACGAAATATTTTAAGTGTTCTCTTAAACTTGATGTTGTAGTGCAAATAGGAAAGGACACTTAATTGCATTTTGCTTTTTTACTTTGCCCCTTTTTCTTAAAGAATCTTCAACTGGTTGGCAAACAGGTCATCTTCAAAACACCCAGGAAACACAAAACCAAACACTGTTTTGGGAGACATGTATTGCTGGGCCCATTTTAAGGACAAGATTGTGAGGACCCAGACAGCTTACTCAACACAGCGTGCAAATGCAATAACGTCTCTGGCAATCAAATTCTGTCTTTTCCATATGCTAGCCACCAGGCCAGCTTCTGCTTCCTGCTCAGCTTGACATTTTAATCTAGGGATTTACATTGCGTGATGAATAAGTATAGCAAGATTTCCTCCATCATGTATTTTAAATGATGTATTTTAAATTATTAAGTTTATAATCAGTTACTGAATTTCTGTAGCTGTCAAAGCTGTACAGGAAGATAGAATCTGGCACTTCATTCACTTTGTTTTGTCATTTGGTCACGTAGAATTCTCAAATCTCAGCGTTGCTTGTAGCTTAGGCAATCATGAATACAGATAGGAAAAATCATGTCTCTGCCTCCGTTTAAATCAGTCTACTGTGTTAATAAAAACTGCATCCAAGGCTGGAAGTAACAGCATGTACAGACTGACAAATTACATCTTCATCTGCCTACTCTAATTGTCTTCTAGTTGAGTTAATCTGTATTGTGTAGCTTTGGCTAGAAGAATCCGTATCCTAAGAGAATGCTGAAGTCAGGACTTCTAGGCAAAATCAAGGAACATTAATTACTTAGAATTGCTTAAAGCTGGAACTGTGCCTCTAATGGAAGCGCTAATTACTCAAAATTTGACGACATAAAAAGTTCCCTTTAATTTGGCTGATGCTTGCTATGGATTGTGTATCTTCTTGGTTCTCCGCTGCCTGCCCACAATTTTAATTTGTTATCACATTGTAAAATTACTGCATAAATTAATTATCTGTTGTTATTTGGAAAGGGTGTGTTGTAGCTGAATGGTGAATGTGTAGTTTATTTCCTTATTTCCTCTCACTGGAGAATGGCTCGGCTGTGTTTCTGTTGATTTTAAAGCAAGGTGGGTCTTGACTCATCTACCATCATTTCAAAGAGTTTAGAAATGCACTTTGGTTTGAACTTGGGTTTGTTTTGTTTTGTTTTGTTTCGTGTTTTTTAAACTTTTGCCACTGACTAAGGCAAAGTAATGAACGTTAAAATCTACTCACATTTCTGCAAATCGGTGTCAGAAAAAACAATCATAAAAGAGATTTAAGTTGCAAAGTCAGGCACTCAGAAAATTAGAAAACATAAGAACGGAAATTATCTGTGTAATTTTAATTTTACTCCTTCACGCATATGTAGTATGATGCAACTTCTAATTATGTCATCAGTGCTGTATTTTCCAGTGTGTATAACTGATAAGCCATTTATTCAGTGTTTTCCTTGCAGTTCTGCTGCTATTGTCATTTTCAGAATTTAGGTCTACAAAGTAGTGCTAAAGCTAGAGAAATAACTTTGCTGTGTGGATTCAATCCTGCACAGAAGAAATAAGTAGGAACTTTCCTATTCATTTGGTATAGGAACTAGTCATAGATGTTTCATCACAAATGTTCCCTTTAAAAGATGTTCTAATGTTCTGATTCATTTACAGTCAAAATACTGAATTCATGTTACTTAATTTAAAACCAGTTTTGTTGACATAAAACTTTCCAGTGGCTTATTCTGGTTTAGCCTTTGGTTTCCTTTTATGTCTTCCTTTCTGTACAGCTGAATGAGCTGGTTATTGCTGTCCCTGCAAATAGGAATATTAGTTGTTTACAGTGGTTCCAGTCATACAAGGACACAATTAAATGTCCTTGCCTTTGCAGGACAAGCTCATTTTAGCAGCGATTTATAATTACATTCTGTTTTAAATTCTTCATAAGAACATACAGAGTCAACAACTTAATATAGTAAAAAATAATTTTTTTTAAAAAATATGTTTTTTCCCCCTACAAGAAGCAGGGAGTACCAAAGTAAATAAAACTAATGTGTAAATGGTGGGGGAAGGGCAAAGCAAAACAGTGGTTTATCTTTCTTTGTCAAAACAAAGCTGAATAAGAAGCTTGTGCTACTAAGAAAGTTTGTCTGGTGTTACAGACACAGAGGGAGGGCCCTTTGGTTAAAAACAGAAGAACAGTCATACAGTTGCTCTTATTGATTTAGTTTTTTTCCCCTACATGCAGAAAATTTTTGGCATTCCCCAACAAAACCCACGAAAACACCTACGTCAAAAAGTTGAATAGGTTTCAATATGAAATCCTTAAAGGTCAAGAAATGCCACATGTATTTAAATGGCCAGAAGAATTCAAATTCTACCTCTCTGTGCCTCCAGCCTGGAGACTGAATGAAGGGGGATTGTGTTAGAAGCAAACAAGCAAAAACCCGTAAGTTATGTGAGCACGTAGTTAAAGATTACTGGTTACCCTCCTATTCATAGCAAGGTGGAATTATATTTCCTATTAGCTTTAGTTACTCAGGTTTTTTAAAGAAGGTTTGCTGCTAATTGAAATATCCCATAGCCTTTTTGCTTAACAACTTACATCTATTCTCCTCACGGTCCCATGTGTATAAGATTGTAAGCCA